TCGGCACCTCGGCCTCTCTCGCCGCTCCGGGCCCAGCACCGCCGCCCGCAGCCTCCCGGCCCCGGGGCCTGCTCGCCGCCCGCCCGTCGAGGTTCCCCCGGGTCCTGGTGCCGCCCGCTCTGACCCACGCCGCTCCCCACGGGGTCCTAGCGCCGCCTGTACGGACGCCGCTCGCAGGGCCCGAATGCCCTCCGCTCGGATCCTGCCGGGCGGTGCGCGTCGGCCCGGGACAGGACCGCCACTCCTGCCCGCCCCCAGGCCAGAAGAGCGAACGTTAGCCCCGCCCCCCGCAGGCGCGCCCCTCCCGGTTCCCTGATGGCCTCGCCTCTGGGGTCATGCGCTTGTCTATAAAGTTGTTGTTGAGGCGGCGGGACGCTAAGATGGCGGCGGCGGCGGCAGCCGTGGCGGGGGCGGGGCGCGGCGGCGGCACGGATTCCCGGCAGGAGCGGAGCCGGGCCCGGGGCTGGCCCGGTACCGAGCGCAGCGAAGGCCGAAGGTGACGGCAGGGCGGCGAGAAGGGGCAGGGCCGGGCGAGGGCCACCGTGGAGGTGGGTGCTAATGGCGGCGAGCACGGCGGGGCCGGAGGCTGGCCCTTCTGCAGGTTTTAACAAGCAGGGGTTCGAGTCCGGACACTGCCCTATTAGCCTCAGACCCGTCACTGACCTATGTGGGCTTCAGTGTCCTTATATTTAAATGGGCCGAATAATGCCCGCCCGAAAGGCCTGGCTCTGCAGGGCCTGACTGGGTGCTGTGCGAACTGGGGCTCTTTCGCATCCCTGCATTAAATGCCAGCGTTCAGAATACCTGCCAGTCACTGGCGGGGACCAGGAGGTGTAGCTGGGCCAATGCTTCTGCACTTGAATTTACATTTCGGCCCTGTCTCTCACTACAGATGTGACCTTGAGTAAACTCCTCTCCAAGCCTCATTTTTCTGTCTAAATCAGAGAGGGTAGAAATAACATTAGCAACAACCCTCATGTAGTGCTTATTCTCCCTCAGGCTTTAATTGTCAATAGCACTATGAGCTAGGAGCAGTTATCCTTTGTAAAGATGAGGCAGATAAGGCATGGGGACTTGCCCAAGGACTGTGCCTGGCACTCCCTAGGCCCCAGCAAGCTGCAGATCTGTCAAAAACCCTAATTTGGTTCCCTCACCACAGGATGGAGCAAGGTGAAGAGCTGGAAGAGGAGGACTCTCCAGGCGGCCGTGAGGATGGCTTCACCGCTGAGCACCTGGCTGCGGAGGCCATGGCAGCTGACATGGACCCCTGGTTGGTGTTCGACGCCCGCACCACGCCTGCCTCTGAGCTGGATGCCTGGTTGGCCAAGTATCCACCATCCCAAGTTACGCGCTATGGGGACCCTAACTCGCCCAACTCTGAGCCTGTGGGCTGGATTGCAGCATATGGGCAGGGCTACGTCCCCAACTCGGGAGATGTGCAGGGCCTACAGGCCGCCTGGGAGGCTCTGCAGACCAGCGGGCGGCCCATCACGCCAGGTACCCTGCGCCAGCTGGCCATCACCCACCACGTGCTCTCGGGAAAGTGGCTGATGCATCTGGCACCTGGCTTCAAGCTGGACCACGCCTGGGCTGGCATTGCTCGGGCCGTGGTCGAGGGCCAGCTTCAGGTGGCCAAGGTGAGCCCACGGGCCAAGGAGGGTGGGCGCCAGGTCATCTGTGTTTACACGGATGACTTCACGGACCGCTTGGGTGTGCTGGAGGCGGATGCAGCCATCCGTGCAGCAGGCATTAAGTGCCTGCTTACCTACAAGCCTGATGTCTACACCTACCTGGGCATCTACCGGGCCAACCGCTGGCACCTCTGCCCCACTCTCTATGAGAGCCGTTTCCAGCTGGGGGGCACTGCTCGTGGCTCCCGTGTGCTGGACCGCGCCAACAATGTGGAACTGACCTAGTGGGGCCAAGTTGGGGAGGCCATCCTCTGTGCTCCCTGCTAGGGATGGATCCTCCCATCCTCCTCCTATTTATCCCAAGGAGGCCAAGTCCCTCAGCTCCGAGGACTCCGTCACTTGGGAACTGCCTGCATCTTTGATCCCCTTGACCTTCCGCCCTCTGTTCAGGGCTGACTCAAGTCCCCACCAGCTGGAGGCTCTGGCTCCCTGGGGGCCGGATGCCCAGCCTCTCTCTTCAATGCCGTTGCCCTCTGCTATCCAGAACCACAGGCTGGGTGCAGACACCTAAGGGGAGAGCCTTCCTTGGCCACCCTCGTCCCTAGCTGTACCTCCCTCTCCTGCATCCTCCCCTTCTCTTCCTCACAAGAGAGAAAACTTAGTGCTACATCCCCTCTCCTTGGAGCCTTCACGGTCCGGGGGACAGAGGCCCTGCAGGCCTGAGCATGCCGTTTTGTTGGGGATGGTGGTGATTGTGCCCACTCAGCCCCTGGCAGAGAGGGGATGTCAGGTCCATGGACAGAGGGTCTGCCCCTCACAGCCTGCACCACCTTCCTCCTTTCTTTCACTACCTTGTCATGTGCCTGCTCCTGGCATTTCAATAAAACCCAGCTTGGGTCTGTGTCTTGAGTGTTTTTTAAAATACTTTGTTGGTTAAATGCTTTGGTTGCTGGAGAGAGGCGGGGCTGCGAGAGACTGCCCCTCAGCCCTGACTGGGCCCTCCCAACCGCCCCAGTAATAAGACACGCCTCACTGCCTAGGCTGGGAACCTCTCAGAGCCTCTGCAAAGCAGCCATGCTTCCCCTTTATCCCGAGAATCAATCAGTTTCGCAGTGATTTCCCTTAAATCCAGGGGCTTGGCCCAGCAAAGTCCAAGGGGCCACGACTAGCCCACAGGGTGTGTTTGTGCCTAATAGAGAAAGGTACCCTCTTGGTCCTGGCAGTTCTAGGTCAGAGCACATGACCTGGTAAGCAGACAGGGTGAGCTGAGTTTCAGCAACGTAGGCCGGACATCCTTGTGCAGTGAACAACTTGCACAGCCGTACATAGCCCTGGAAGCCCTCCTGCTTGTACTCACCTCTCCACCACTCTGACCATCACAGGCCACTGGACAGTTTGCAAAGCACTTCCATAAGCATTATTTAATTCTCACAGCCTGTTTAGAGGGAGATGTTGACCCCATTCTGTGCTCAAGGAAATTGAGGCCAAGAAGGGCGGGGAGTTATCTCAGGGTCACGCAGTGAGCTGGTCCCTGCTTCAGGCAGAGCGCGGTCCTTGGTTTCACCCACAGTGAGTGCCTCACAGCTCACCAGGCACATTCACTCACATGATCTCACTGGGCCACCCCACTTGACTGAGGCTGCTGTAGCCTTGGAGCCTGGCTCTTCACCCTCACAACTCCGTGCCTGGGTTTCAGGCCAGGGTGTCTGGCAGGAAGCCCCTTGGGACACTGCTCTCGTGCCATGCCGGAGCTGACTCAGCCTCCAGCAGCCTCACCAAATTGGAATTTAGAGCAGGGGAGCGGAGATGCCACTGGGCTGACTGGCTGGAAGTGGGTGAGTCATGAGATGCTCGCTTAGCCCCCTCCCCAGCTTCCTCCCCACCCCAAGCTTCCCCAGGGCTGAGTCCCCCCTCAGCCCAGCCCTGGGAAGTCCCCAGAGCTGAGTAGTGTCCAAGTTGGAGCCTGGTGTCCTGCCTCCCAGACTGTCAGTGCTTTGCACTTGTCCAAAGTGTCCCAAGGCTTGGGGCGATCCTGGCCAGGCCCTCGGGTCCCACAAAGATGCCCGACGGGTGTCGACACCACCTGGTTCTCCTCATAACTGAGCATTCCACACAGTCATCCCTTCTCCATCCTCACGGCCCTGCTTTAGTCTGTTCCTCACCCTCAAACCACTGCAACTTGCCTCCTCTGCCCCGTTCCCCTCCCACTTCTCCCTCTTCCCCCCACGGCCAGCTCTCCTGCAGAGCCGCCTGTGTCCCTCTCCTACTCAAAGCCATCCTATGGCTCCCCACAGCCTGCAATATAGAGTCCACTCTCCTGAGCTGGCCGTGACCGAGCCCTCCCACCAACTGCCCCAGCTTCCCTCAGGCGCCCTTTTCCGCCCGTGTTCACCCCACTGGAGCCAACTGGCGCTTCCTTCACCCCTAGCACGCAGCCCTGATCCTCAGGCTGCTCCTTCTGCTTGAACACCTGTCATGCAGCAAGGGTCGGGAGGTCACTTATGTGATCACTTGATTGATGTCTGTCTCCCTCCCAATGGCCCCTAAGCTGCATGCCCAGACTGTGGACTCAGCAAAGGCAGGAACAATGGCTAAATTTCAGGCTTATCCCCAGAACCTAGCACAGAGCTTGGCTACAGCAACCTCTCCATAAATTATTAAATGAATGAATGAGTGAGTGGCTCAAATCCAGCCCCTGCCAGTTCCTTCGGCCCCATCTCTCCTCTACTCCCTGCTTCACCCTTCTTGTTCCAGAATCAACAGCTGCCTGTGATTTTCTTACACACATCCTGGCGTTTCTCACTTTTGTGCCTTTGCTTATGCCGTCCTCTGCTCGGTGTACCTGATCTTTGTCTGCTTTCCTGGCTGACTCCACATCTCAAACCCAGACCTACCACCCACTGGCTCATTTTCTTGGAGGTTTCTCCGCTCCCCGCCCCCATCCGTCTGCACCCCGGGCTCCCACAACATTCACCTACCTGTGACTCTCACCTATGTGTCCAGGGCCCCTGAAGGACAGTGACTGTGCTTTATCCCTCAGCGTCCAGCATAGGACTTTGGCCTAGCACAAGTGCCAAACCAACATTTCTGAATAAATGAGTGATTGAATGAAAGTTACTCTCGCTCTGGGCCTGTTTCCTCATTCTATTCATAACATGAGCCAGGCACTGTGCTGAGTGTCCACCTACATTATCTCTGCTAAGCCTCACCTGGCTCTATTATTATTGCCATTTTGCGGGGGGAAAAAAACGGTGGCCCAGAGAGGTTCAGTAATTTGTCCAAGGTTACAAAGCCATAAGTAGCAGAGCCAAGATTTGAATCCAGGTCATCCAACTCCAGAGCACCTGATGCATTGTTGAGCGCCCCCTTGTATGAAAGTGCTGTTGGGGAAAGAGGCTGCAAAGACAAACAAGACCCAGCAAGGACTTAAGATATGATTTGTAAAGCACAGAACCAGCTGGGAGAGAGGCTGGGCCAAGATTAACATTCCCATTTTTCTGGTGGAGAAACTGAGGCCCAGTGTGTACATTGACTAAGCCTACTTGCGCAGGAAGGCTCTCCCAGGCCTACTGTGGGGATTGCTCCCCTGCCAGGCCAAGGGCTCCCCAAATCCCATCCCTTCAGGCTGGCAGAGCATTTTGCCGTGTTTGGCTGGCCCCTTCCCACCTGGGAATAAAGAAGTAGCCCCAGCCCAGGGTGGACTAGGCTGGGCAAATTTGGACAAAGTTTTGTGTTCTATTCCCTTGTATGAAACCATGGGGAGAATGACCGAGGCCAGAGAAAGGAGACAGCCACACACATGCAAAGCCCCAAGCCCCAGGAACGAGGCTGTAGAAGGGCTGGTCAGGAAATAGGGAGAGTCTCTGCCTGACTCCCAATTCCAGCTGGGGCTAGGCGCCAACCTGGGGAGGACAGGAAACAGCTGAGTTGGGAGAAATCTTCGGCCAGAGCTTTGGCGAGGTTTTGGGGATTTTCCCAGCAGGGCAACTGTACCCTGCTCCCGCCTGCTGGGAGGAGCCCTGGCAGGGATGAACCACCCCCTCCAATCAGTCACACGGCTGAATCATCCCGGGAGGGAAACTCCCCACTTCTCTGACCTGCATCTCCTGGACACTGAGGGGTAACCTGAGGGTACCTAGACCAGAAACCCACCAATCCCATCTTTCCTCGATGACTGGCCTCCCAGCAGGGCATGAAAACCCCCCAGAGTCTGGCAGGGTGGCAGAGAATAAGGGCCGCTTCCTGGGGAATGACATCAGAGACTGGAACCAGAGTGGCGGCTGGATGAGGGGCACCTCTGGCATCCTCCCCTCACCCATTTCTTAGAAGAGAAAACTGAGACTCAGATAATAAGAACAAACACATACACAGACCTCCTCCGCACCTGGTGCTACTCTAAGCAGTTCCTCCTCACTGTGGTCCTCATGGCCCTCATATTACTGAGAAGGAAACTGCGCAGAAAGAGGTTAAGTAACTTGGCCATGGTCAAGGCTAGAAACACTCCGGGGGCCTCCCTAGAGCACTTGTGCACGCCCCTGTGACAGGGACCTCTGTCCCTGGTCCCTGAGAAGCTCTGGTGCCTGGGAACCCTAGAAGACAGACATGTCACGCCTCTGGGCGCTGGCTCCTCCCAGGCTACAGGAAGGGTGAGAGAGCTGGCTCTTACAGGGAAAAAAAATATCTAACAGTTGAAAACGCAGAGGCCAGGAGAGGGCAGCGACGCATTCCCGCCAAAATGTCCCTCTCTAGGGCTTTGACTCCCGTCCAAACCTCAATCCTTTCCTCCCAAGGCAGAGACTCCCTTTCCTGTCTGCCAGCCCCCGTCCCCGACACCACACACACTCTGGCACGCAATCCCAGGCACACGGTGCACTCCGAGAGTCCAGCCTCCAGGCCCCTGTCCCCTCAGTGAGCCTGGCCAGCCCTGCTTCCTCTGCCACGGCCAGGGGCGCGCAGGGCGTTGGAGGAGAGATGAGACGGTGTCTCCGTGAGGCATAGCTGAGGGCCTCACACAGGCAAGCTCTGCCCCATCTGGCTCCCTCTCACAGGTTGCATGACTCAGTCTCTTGCCCCCCATGACTCAGTTTACACGGGTGCCCAGAGGTCCTCCCAGCGAGGGTGGGGCAGTTTACTGGCCCAGCCCAGACCCGCCAGCCTTTCATCCCAGGATGAGAGTTTTATCCCTCTCCTGGCCCAGAACGGGAGCTGGCACCCTAGAGTCCGGGGGTGGGGAAAATCCTCAGGTCTCGGAGGCTAGGAAGAGTCCAAGAACGGGGTGACAGGCCCCAATTGCCCTGAGCCTGGGTCTGCAGGTAACAGGAGTGGCTCCAGGAAGCCTTAGGGTCAGGCTGAGTGGGCAGAGCCATCCTGGGTACTGACGGCAGAATCCTTCATGCCCTCTGTACAGGGGAAAGGGTCTTCATGGCACAAAATATAATAGCAAGAAAATTCGTACTAACATTTATTAATTTCTTACTGTAGTCCCATGTGGAGTGCCATCCGTGTCTTATTTCATTTTCTCCCTCTGAAAACAATCCTGAAAAGCAGGCACAGTCACTATCCTATCCTTTCCACAAATGAGGAAACTGAGGCATAGAGAAGTTAAAGGAATGGCCAGGTCACACAGCTAGGAAGTGTTCGAGCTGGGACTCAAACCCAGACCGTCTGATTCCAGGCTTCACGTTGTCCCCTACTGCGTCCCTGGGCCACTCTGGTTGGAGCAGGCTGAGGGGCCCGAAACCCGGCCTGCCTTCCCCCAGTGAAACTCCATTGAAACCTCTGCTTTTAGAGATCGCAGTATATAAACCACTAATCTGCAAGCAGGGGAAACTGAGGGTCCCAGAGGGAAAGGGACCAACCCGAGATCACATACCAACTCGGAGATGGGCTAGGGCTGGGACCATGTCTGGATGCACTCCCAGC